GGTCTTGCTTGGTTGTCCAGGCTGGTCCCAAGATCTTGGACTCAAGTGTACCCTCTGCTTAGCCTCCTGAGTTGCTGGGATTATAGGTGTGAGCTACTGTACCTGTCCAACAGCTGTCTTTTAAATGATCCTAGAAAGCTGGGCATGATGGCTCATGCCTGTACTTCCAGCACTTTGAGAGGCTGAGGAAGGTGGATCAGTTGAGGTCAGGAGTTTGAGACGAGCCTGGCCAACAAGGTGAAACCCCATCTCTACTAAAATACAAAAAAAATTTAGCCAGGCATGGTGGCACATGCCTGTAGTCCTAGCTACTTGGGAGGCTGACACAAGAGAATCACTTGAACCCAGGAGGCTGAGGTTGCAGTGAGCTGAGATTGAGCCACTGCATTCCAGCCTGGCCAGCAGATCAAGACTCTGTCTCAATAAAATGAATAAGCTTAGGTATTAACACTTTAAAGGCTAAATGAATTTATAAGAATATATGCTCTCCCCCAAGGTACCCATGATATTTTTATTTTTTATTAGAAAATGTGTATCTGGCCAGGAGTGGTGGCTCATGCCTATAAACCCAGCACTTTCAGAGGCTGAGAGGCAAGAGGATCACTTGAAGCCAGGAGTTTGAGACCAGCCTGGGCCACAGAACAAGATCATGTCTCAAAAAAAAAAAAAAAAAAGAAAGAAAATTTAAGATTTTTCTGAATTAGCCCTTGGGCAAAAAGAGTTACTGATTATTGTTTTAAAGTACATTTAAATTCTACAGGTGTGATCTTTAGGCTTCTACTCCTCCATTAATGTACGTGATTATAGACGTATAAGAGCTTTTTGTGCTGTTACTCTTGTTCTCAAGCAGCCTGTATTGCTTCTCTGAAAATACTTGATTTTGTGCTTATGGAAAAGAGGCCCTTAGTACCTGGAAGTGCTTTCTCTCTTCTGCCAGAAGAAACTAAGCAAAAATACAATCATATTTACCTTTTAAAAATTGTGAAAAAATATACATGACATGAAACTTAACTACTTTGACTATTTTTAAGTGTACTGTTTTGTGGCATTAAATACAGTCACCATCATCACTGTGTATCTCCAGAAGTTTTCATCTTCCCCAACCAAAACTCTGTATCTGTTAACCACTAACTCCCCATTAGAAAACACTACCCCATCCCTGAGGTGGAGAGGTTGCCCCTAGCAACCATCATTCTATTTTCTGTCTCTGAATTGAACTATTCTGAATATCTCATATAAGTGGAATTATTTATTTATTTATTTATTTATTTATTTATTTATTTATTTGAGATGGAGTTTCGCTCTTGTTACCCAGGCTGGAGAGCAATGGCGCAATCTCGGCTCACCGCAACCTCCGCCTCCTGGGTTCAGGCAATTCTCCTGCCTCAGCCTCCTGAGTAGCTGGGATTACAGGCACGCGCCACCATGCCCAGCTAATTTTTTGTATTTTTAGTAGAGACGGGGTTTCACCATGTTGACCAGGATGGTCTCGATCTCTCGACCTTGTGATCCACCCGCCTCGGCCTCCCAAAGTGCTGGGATTACAGGCTTAAGCCACCGTGCCCGGCTGAGTATTTATATTATTGGATTATTTTCTCACTGTTGATATTATACTATTCTGGAGTAGATTCAAATTCAAAATACTTTTTTTTTTTTTTAGACAGAGTTTTTCTCTTGTTGCCCAGGCTGGAGTGCAGTGGCGCAATCTTGGCTCACTGCAGCCTCCGCCTCCTGAGTAGCTGGAACTACAGGCACGTGCCGCCATCCCCAGCTAATTTTTGTATTTTTAGTAGAGACGGGGTTTCACCATGTTGACCAGGATGGTCTCGATCTCTTGACCTCATGATCTGCCTGCCTCAGCCTCCCGAAGTGCTGCGATTACAGGTGTGAGCCACTGCGGCCGGCCAAAATATTTTAATTCTATAAGATTACTTTTATAGGATAAAGTATATTACTTCTATAGGATTACTTCTATAGGATAAAATATATTAATGTGTTTACCTCACCTACAGCTCAGGAGCAATAATTTTTAGTAACTCTGGCTTAAAATTTTTTATTATTTAGAAATGTTTTGAAAATGTAATTAACTCCTATATCTAAAATGGAATTCTTTTCATTATTTGCAGTTTTTCTTTCTACATGAAATTTAATGCCTCAACTGAACATTCCATTCAGGAAGACACTGAAAGTTCTTTATGCAGACGAATGTGTCTTAGGACATAGTGATAAACTAAGTTTTATAAATGTCAGTGCTTTCATAATACACAGATTTTTCATATACTAGGCATATAGTCAGATTTCTATACCTAGGTTTTCATATTCAGTAAACTTACTAATACCTTACTTTGTTCTATTTTGTTGACTATACAAAATAGTACTGTACTGGTAAGGAAGAGCCATTGAGGAATCTTTTTGGATTATAATCTTTTCAAGTCCTCATTTTCTTCATATAGTTACCTTTTTACTTTCTGTTTGTTACTGGATACTTTAAAGAATATTTATTTACTTTTTTGCTGTTTCCTGAGATACCAACTCGTCTGTCAAGCTATCAAAAATATATTAACATATTCTCTGTTATATATTGTAGTTTATTTCTCTGAGAAATTTAAAGTACATTTTTACACTTATTGAAAATATGTAACCAATGGAGTCAGAAACTTTGGAAAAATGAAACTAACACCTTTTATTGATTTATTTGTAATGAAACACTGCTTTTTGGTACCCTGATGGAATGGACCTGCAGCTCCCAAGGCTTTTCCTGCTGCTAAGTGGCTAGATTTTCCTTAGCTGCTGTAACTCTAGGGGAAAAGGACACCCCCCAATCCCTGCTTTTTTTTTTTTTTTTTTTTCCTCAGAGTTTTGGCCAACTCTGCAGATTCTGCTTGGTGTTTATTTGGATTAAATTTATTTCATAGGACACTTAGGTGTTCAGATACTTTGGGAAATCAAATTCAGACCCAAAATATTTAAAATATATGTTTGAATAATGTTTGAAGGATCACATATAAGAACCTATTCACCTAACCTATACTGGAAATGATAACAGCTTGAATTTTATGAGGCAGTCTTCGTAATATATGGCTTTTAAAAGTTACCAGAATTGTTAAAAATTATGTCATCCAAAAAATAACCTTTATATTTATGTCTGAACTATAATTTTGTCCATCATTTCAAGTTTTCTTTCTGTGTGCAAAATTTAGTGGTTAAATTGCTCATGATACAATGAGAAAATATTTTTTTCTACTGTATCTTCATGAACTTCTGATGTTTTAAACAATAGTCATGGAGTAATAGGGAAGCATTTCAGTTAATGTTTCTATAATCCTTAGGTCAATTTACTTTTAAAGATTAGATAATGAGATTAGTAATTTTATTAGCACATTCAAAATATGAAAAATGTGGACATAAAAAGAAAGAGTTGCCACCTTATTGATAAAGACACCTTTAAGGTGTTTAAGCAAGTAGAATCCTAGTAAAATTATAAATGTTACATTTCAGGAAGAGGGAAAGCTTAGCTTATGGAATTATTGTGAGATACACATGCACGTGCGTGTGCACACACACACACACACACACACACACAGTTTTTTGACATAGGCTCTTACTCTGTCACCCAGGCTGGAATGCAGTGGTACAATCACGGCTTACTGCAGCCTCTACCTCCCGGCTCAAGTGATCCTCCCACCTTAGCCTCCTGAGTAGCTGAGACTATAGGCACGTGCTGCCATGCCTGGCTGATTTTTGTATTTTTTGTAGAGATGGGGTTTCACTGTGTTGCCCAGGCTGGTCTCAAACTTCTGGGCTGAAGGGATTCACCTGTCTCAGCCTCCCAAAATGCCAGGTCTATAGGAGTGAGCCACCATGCCTGGCCATATTGTGGTATATTAAAGAGCATGTGCTTTGGAATTTAATTACTCGCTCTGTCACTTTGAGCTTTGTGACTTTTGGTAAATTACTTAATATCATTGAGCTTTAGTTTACTTGTTTTGTAAAGGCAATATATGTAAAGCATTTACTAGTGTGCCTAGAACAGGGTAGGTGCTCAATATACATCATCCTCTGTTTAATGCACAGTTGTGATATTAATAACTGATTCTCACTTATACTGGAGAGTCTGGGGAAAAGGTGACTCAACCTATTATTAAGACTGCATCTGTAAGTGTAACTTTGCTAGTACCAAGAGTTCAATCTCTTCACAGTGTCCTAACTATAAAGGGAAAGTTTTGAAAATGTGTTTCTTTAGTTAAAATAATAGGAGCTAACATTTATTGATTGCTTACTGTGAACCAGTACCCTTCTAAGTTCTTTATGGATATTAGCTCATTTATTCCTCACAACAACCATATTTGTAGGTTCTATTATTCTGTTATTATCTCTATTTGAATAGGATTCAGAAACTGAGGCACACAGAGATTAACCATGTTCAAATTTACACTGGGCTGTGAAGCCAGGCTAGTGGAGCTGGGCTCCAAAGCCATGAGGTCTGGCTCTGTGATCTGCATTCCTAACCACTTGCCTGAATGATTAAAACATTTTTTGTGTACATTTCTACTGGATGCATTGTTTAATGGTGGAACATTTAGAGAGTAGTTTGCACTTATTTTCCTCTTTCAAAACGCTCCCCACTCCAAATAGTTGTTACTATTGAAATTATTGAAATACTTATTTTGGAATTTCAATATGTTTTACTTTCAATAAAATGAAATTAATTTCAATAAGAATATATGTTTGGTTAGAAAGGTAACCAAATGCTTAGGTGCTAAAGAAATCTCCTATAATAACATACATTAGATGTGACTCTTTTAAAGACCTTTAAAATTATTTTATTAATTTGTTGTTTTCAGTAAATAATACCACCTAATTGGACTAAATACTTTGTTAGATACTCAAAGGAAGTTCTTCAAATTTGGATTTCTTTCCAGGCTGAAAGAAGGGAACTCTTTGAATGCTATAGAAAGGTATTATGGTTGATAGCTTTTCTGTGTTTGAATTTGTTCCAGCTGTGCTGCAGTGCTGTTCTCCTTCTACCCACATAGATGCTCTAAGTAGTTGCGTCACTCCCGCTGCCTCTTCCTATGCACACTGCAACTACTTCCAGGTAAGGTTCTTGGAACCATGGGCATATTCGGTACTTCACGTGCAATTTTACCGAACTTGCAAAATTTCAAAGCGTAATTTTATATTAATGAGTAACCAGAAGTATGCTTTAGATTAATGGGCTTTATTTTCTTAATTCTTAAAAAAAGAGAGAATTGATATAAATAATATATCAGGATTCTTCTAGGCCAGGACTGTTCAATATAGCAGCCACCAGCCACATGTGGCTATTTAAGCTAATTAAAATGGAATTAAATTTAAAAATCATTCCTCCATTATACTAACCATATTTCAGGTGCTCAATAGTCTTATATGGTTATTTAAATTAAAATTAAATAAATTTTAAAATTATTCCATGCTTAAAGTAGACACATTCTGAGTGCTCAGTAGTTTCATATGAGTTATGGCTACTGAATTATACAGCACAGATCTAGAACATACCCATTATTGCTGAAAGTTATTTTAAACAGTGATGTTTTAGATTTTTCCAAGGTAAAATGAATACCAGACAAACACTAAACATGTATGTCACCAAATGACAGATTCTTCCAAGATGATATGGATAATTAGACCTTTTTTTGAGATGGAGTCTCGCTGTTGCTCAGTCTTGAGTGCAGTGGCACCATCTTGGCTCACTGCAACCTCCGCCTCCCGGGTCCTGGTTCAAGCAATTCTCCTGCCTCAGCCTCCCGAGTAGCTGGGATTACAGGCACATCCCACCATACCCAGCTAATTTTTGTATTTTTAGTAGAGACAGGGTTTCACCATGTTAGCTAGGCTGGTCTTGAACTCTTGACCTCGTGATACACTTGCCTCGGCCTCTCAGAGTGCTGGGATTACCAGCGTGAGCCACCACGCCCAGCCTGGACTTTTCTTTTTTAAGGAGAAAGGAGAAAAATGTCAAAAATGAGAAATTTAAGTAGTAGCCCCCTTCATCCATAGCCCATATATTGTAAACACCGTATCAGTTGAGTATCCCTTATTCAAAATGCTTGGGACCAGAGTGTTTCAGATTTTGGAACATCTGCAAAAGCATAATGAGATATCTTGGGGATGTGACCCATCTAAACATAACATCTATTTATGTTTTATATGTACCATATACACATAGTATAAAGGTAATTTTATACAATATTTTTAGTAACTTTCTTTATGAAACAAGTTTGTGTTGAATGCTTTTGTGTTGGAATTTTCCGCTTGTGGTGTCATGCCAGCACTCAAAAGTTTCACGTTTTGGAGTATTTAGGATTTTAGAATTTTGGATTAAGGATGCTCAACTTTTACTTCAAGTATCTTCTCATTATTTCTTAAGAGACATTTGCTTGGAATTAAATATTTTATATAGCTATTTTAAGGCTACTTTTAAATTCCATGGTTTGTATTTTTATGCTATAACTGCTAAAGATTGGAATTGTGTGTTTGCTTTGGATAATCATCTAGCCAAGATAGCTTCACTTCTTAAGAGAATATCTTACTAGTGGTGTTAGGGTACTCAAAAGAACATTGCTTTTTTTTTTTTTTTTTTTTTTTTTTTTTTTTTAGAAAATCTACATAGGAAGTCAAATTATAATCAGATTGCTGTTTGAAGAGTGTAGAATGAGATCAAGGGGACTTAGTTGGCCATTTTTCATGGCTGATATCATCAAGTGTGGTATCCTAGTCCATTCAACTTCACTGGAGGGACATACCTATCCCACAATTAGATGCTCTTGTTTGTGGGTCCAGGCATTCTCTTTGCTGGATCATACTGGAGATACTATGACAGTGTTTATATCTTGGTTATGTTGTGTGCTAAATAATCTAAAACATTTTTGTAAAGTCCTTTTCTTGTTACAGAGACAATGTATGGCTTTGTGCAGTGGTTGATGCCTATGATCCCAGCTCTTGAAGAGGCCATGGTGGGAGGATTGTTTGAGGCCAGGAAATTGAGACGAGCCTGGGCAACATAGTGAGACCCTGTCCTTACAGGGGGAAAAAAAGTAAAGGAAGGAAGAAGGAAGGAAAGGGAAAGGGAGGAAGGGAAGGTCAGGTCGGTGGGTTAGTTGAGCGTAGTGGCATATGCACCTGTTATCCTAGCTTGGGAGGCTTCTTATCCTCGTTTGATCTTCCCACCTTGAGGAGTTTGAAGAGTTTGAGGCTATAGTGAGTTATGATTGTGCCACTGCACTCCAGCCTAGAATGAGACCCTGTCTCCAAAAAAAAAAAAAAAAAAAAATTTTTTTTTTAAATCTGCTGGGTGAGGTGGCTCACGCCTATAATCCGTGCACTTTGGGAGGCTGAGGCAGGTGGATCACCTGAGGTCAGGAGCTCCGAGAACAGCCTGGCCAACATGGTGAAACCCAGTCTCTACTAAAAATACAAAAATTAGCATGGTGGCAGGCACTTGTAATCCTAGCTACTCAGGAGGCTGAGGCAGGAGAATCGCTTGAACCTGAGAGGCAGAGGTTGCGGTGAGTCAAGATCACGCCATTGCACTCCAGCCTGGGTAACAAAAGTGAAACTCCGTCTCAAAAACAAAACAAAAAATTTAAAAAAAGAAGGCAGTATGTGTTCATCATAGGAAAGTAGAGATAAGCATACATAAAATTTTGAAATGGAAAAATGGGAAAGTGTTTCAGATTCCGTCCTGAAAATAAATGCATTTAGTTTAGTTGGACTGTAGGTTTGAGTGAGAGTGTGCGCGCACAGTCCGTATATTGTAATGTTCAAGAGCAAGAGCTTTTCGGTAAGGCAAACCTAGGCTTGAAACCTGGCTCTGTCAGTTATTTCATTGTGACTTTGTGTAAATTATGAAGTTTTATCATTTAAAATGGAGATTATCACATTTCCCAGGGTTCTTTTGAAGGTTAGATGAAATCTATATAAAGCACTTTGCATGTGCTTGGCACGTGGTAATAACTCAATAAATGGTGCTATTAGCTATAGTCACTTAGTGTTTATGCCATTTGAATTTACATTATTTGGCATTGGCCTTCTGAAAATCATTGACAATCTTTGTAGTGTGTTTAGCAATGTCAACTTACTGCATACTTTATTTAATCATAGCTCTTCTGTATTTTATGTTTATTATCTGATACCTGTTTATAATCTGATATAATCAACAAACATTTATTGAATGCCTACTCTGTGCAAAGCTCTTCATTGGGCAACATCATTACATGTTTTATTTAATCATTCTTCTGTATTTTATGTTCACGAAGCTTTATCTCCAAACGTGTTAAATGCCTACTCTCTGCAAAGCAGTATATATAAGATAATTTATCTTAAAGATTTATATCTAAAAGCAACAGCCATTTTAGTCTATTGCTTTATTATTAAAAATAAATAATTCCAGGAAACAAAGGACATTTGATATTCCATGCATTTTTCCCCATGTTATTTAGAACAGAATATTTGTACCTCTCCCTGAATCTGTAGAAGGATTGGTAGGCTTGTGAGCATCCTGTGTTTGCAATTTTCTTACTGCATTCCTTAAACAGTATATGATAGATACAGATTATGTTTTTGTCTGTCAGCGTTTGTGGAAGAATTTGGTATATAGACACTTTATCAGCACTTGGGTGTTTGGGTACTATAGCTTTTGATTTTGTATAGTTTAATCCCGAGAAATACTGGCCCATTGCAGTATTAAATTTAGCAGAGTGGTTGACATATGGTATATACTAAGCAAATGCTAACAGTAGATTTGAAGCTACTATTTCTGAAAAGTATATTAGTGTCTAGGTTTTCTTAGCTTTAAGTTTAATTTATTTATGTTTAGCACTAATCAGCCTAAATATTGTAGCTTTTCTCCTTAATCTCATATTTGGTTTTCTATCCAAACAGTCCTATTTTTTCTTTTCTCAGAATCCTTCAATGCAATCCTCCTATCCAGTTGAATTTTTGCCTTCCAGTTGGCCCTGCAGTACTACTGATGAAAATAAAAAGACAGAAGTAAACCTAGAGGCTGTCTTTCAGATAGTGGATGAGTTGCATTCCTCCCCTAAATTGGAGATGGTAAAGGTGGAGCCTGTTGAGAATCAGTGCCCAACATCTCAGTCTAACAGAGGCCAACATATTCTAGCTAATTCTAACAACAGCAATCCATGTTCTGCAAGTCAGGCTAGCCAGCTGGAGCCACTTACTCCTGTAGGCTCAGATATTACGTCTTTTGTGGTTGGAACAGAACAAGCAATTGCCTGCTCTCTACCACAGTCACCTGAGTACATCTATACCATCCACACAGCTCAGCCTTTAGAAAATAGCTCATTACAGGAATCTGCAGCCATCCAGCAAGCTCATGTCAAACTGAAGGAGCAGCTAAATCATAGTGCATCTCCATCTTCAGTAGTATTTGTGCAGGAAGGGCTACCATCCAGCACATACCAGGTAAGGGGGCAAAGAAAAAAATCCTAATAAAGCTCAAAATACCTAGTATTTCTGCTAAAGGCTATTCTGCTGGAGAGTTTGTTCAGATTTTATTTGGGTTTAACAGCAGTTCATTGTGCTTTCCAGGAGGATCATGTCCCAGTGGTTCTGTACAAAAGATTCAGAAAGAAGTTACCTTAACCCTTAAGCATCCTCTCACTATATTATGTATGGTCTAAAGTCAACCTCTAAAGAGAGGCTGTCTAATCGAGCATTGTGCTATAATGCTTGTTGTCATGTTATAAATATCCCTTGAGTTTTTGCTTTCTATCTTAATTTGGATAGATTAGATGTGTCTGGCCAATAATTCTATTACCCAGGAGGGATGGTTTATTTGACAGATATGAGGACTTTCCTAGCCATTTGTAGCACGGAAGTAAGGAGATGGATGGAGGTCTTTTCTAACTTTATTACAGCATAATTGAACTGTAACCTGTGAGCATACTGTGTTTGAATTTCCTTACTAATGTCTGTACTTCTAAAGCAGAAGGTAAAGGCTAATTCCTTTATTGCTGCTAGTTTATTACAAGAAAATGAATAAACTTTAATTCTGAATAATTAGTAATAATTCATCAAAAGTACGTCCACAGAAACAGAAAGTCAAATGCCACATGTTCTCATTTTATAAGAAGCAGCTAAATAATGTGTACACACTGGACGTACAGTGTGGAATAATAGACATTGAAGACACGGAAGGATTGGAGAGTCGAGGGGGAACAGGGATGAGAAATTACTCAGTGGGTACACTGTATACTATTCACTCAAAGTCCAGACTTCGCCACTATGCACCATATCCCTGTGACAAAACTGTACCTGTACCTCTTAAAATTATACCCCCCCAAAAAAATTCAAATTAAAAAAAATATTTTTTGAGATGGTCTGTCTCTCTCTCTCACCTAGGCTGGAGTGTAGTAGCATGGGCATGATCTTGGCTCACTGCAGCCTCCACCTCCTGGGTTCAAGGAATTCTCCTGCCTCAGCCTCCCAAGTAGCTGGGATTACAGGTGTGTGCCACCATACTCAGCTAATTTTTGTATTTTTAGTAGAGATAGGGTTTCACCATGTTGGCCAGGCTGGTCTCGAACTCCTGACCTCAGGTGATCCACCCACCTCGGCCTCCCAAAGTGCTGGAATTGCAGGCGTGAGCCACTGCACCTGGCCCCATTACATTTTAAATCTGTAGAACACAGAATGTGTCTTTTGTTTTTTCATAGTCACATCTGAAATATTTCAGATCTTAAAATTGCACTTGCACACAGTAACTTTTTCATTAACAAGTATATCTTGAAAGCTGTGTTTTAAACTTTTAACTTCATTATATAATTTTATTTTAAAATAAATTCATAAAGAAATAGAGTATTTCAGAAGTTGGTCACCTTCAGAAAGCAGTTTACATTCAAAAGAGAATTTAGGAATGCTAAGAAAGAAACTTAGGCTAGGCACATTGGCTTATGCCTGTTATCCTAGCACATTTGGAAGCTAAGGAGGGAGGATTGTTTGAACCCAGGAAGTTCAGACTGGCATGGGCAACATACTGAGACTCTGTCCCAGCAAAAACATTAAAAAAATTAGCTTGGTATGGTGGCACACATCTGTGGTCCTAGGTACTTGGGAGGCTGAAGTGGGGAGATAGCTTGAGCCTTTGAGGTCAAGGCTGCAGGGAGCTTTGATCACACCACTACACTCCAGCCAGGGCGACAGAGTGAGACCCTGTCTCAAAGAAAGAAATTTGTATCCTGTAAAGAGGGCAGGTATAGATTTTATAGGGCCTAAAGCAGGCGTCCCCAAACTACGGTCTGCAGGCCGCATGCGGCCCCCTGAGGCCATTTACCTGCCCCCCTCCCCCCACCGCACTTCAGGAAGGGGCACCTCTTTCACTGGTGGTCAGTGAGAGGAGCGCAGTATGTGGCGGCCCTCCAACGGTCTGAGGGACAGTGAACTGGCCCCCTGTGTAAAAAGTTTGGGGATGCCTGGTCTAAAGCTTATACAATTTTGGGGGCCTCTTTAAGACAAAGAGTACAAAATTAGTATAATAAAGTATCCACATCCCACTAACACCATCTAACAGGATCATGCCTATGGCCATTCCAACAGGAGAGGAAGTCTGATGGAACATATGCTACAGTGAAAAAACGTGGTTTTAACCAATCATGATTACGCTATCTTACTTTTGGTCAAGTATGTTGGCTCATGTCTGTAATCCCAGTGCTTTGGGAGGCCCAGGTGGGAGGATCCCCTGAGACCAGGAGTTATCAGCCTGGGCAACATAGCAATACCTTGTTTCAACAAAAAGCTTCTTAAAAATTAGGTAGAACCTGGAGTCCTAGCTACTCAGGAAGATCACTTGAGCCCAGGAGTTGGAGGTTATAGTCAGCTATGATTATACCATTATACTTCCTCCTGGACAACAATGTGAGGCCCTACCTTAAAACAAAAAAATTGTACTTTTGTAAGTTAAAAAAAAATCAAGCTGCGTGGTAGATATTCCTCTGATCATAAGTACATGTTTTAGTTCCATATACTTTTTAGTAGTTTGTGTATGGAGAAAGGTATAGTGTCATTCGTAAGAACGAAAAGCCTTATAAGCTTGTTTGTTGGATCATGTTCCTATAATAGAACTCCTCTGATAAAATATCTGAACTGTTAGTAGATATTTTGGGGAAATCTCAAATAATGAGTGGATATTAATATTTTAGGTGGATGCCAATATAAAATGCCAGACCAGTCCACCTGAGAATATCTTGCCTTCAGAACAGATGGGATTCCTCATTTCAGAAATGGGGCCTGCTAGCAAGCCTAGTAAAGACACAGGTGTAGCCACTCCAGCCAGATACAGAGAGCGTAGGAGCAACTCACAACAAGGAAAGTCCCCTGGTAAGGATTATTGTGCTCTAAAATGCCAGAAGTAGAATCGTACTGTAGAATTACTATATGAATGGCAGTTTTTCTGGGTCTTCATTTATTATTCATGATTGTATACCTGTCACATTGCTATTTTTACATAGCTGTGATTTTAACTCTGTATTTGTTCTTAATTATCTTTGTAAAGTATTATTTTCCCAATATTGTATGTAATAATTTGGGTTTTGAAAAATATAGAACATATTAAGAATAAACAAAGGAATTTAGATTATTTAACTTGGAGAAGGCAAGGATGAAGGGTGATTTAATAACTATCCTCAGATGCCAGACTTCAAAATTGTAGTTGTACTTGTTCTGTTATTAACAGGTTACAGGACAAGAGGGCATGTATGTATATTGTGACAGCAGAAAATTAGATGGAAATTTAGCATGTTATCCTGAGCATATTATAAAGATACTGTAAAGTATGACCCTATATCAATGGGTTGTTTTTCTTGAGGTGTGTAAGAACCCAGAATAAGTGATTGTTTTAGGCACATACAGTTGGTTCTAAGATGACAAAAGTCATATTTTTTGAAGAAAATAGTCACATTCAATAAAACATGTGTCTTATCCAAAAATCAAGTTACCAAAGTCTACAGTGGACAATTTTAATATTCTAGAGTTATGTGCATGTCAGGCGCATGCAGTACAGGCAGAATTAATCAGGACAAGCAATCATTTTAACCTATAATAATTTGAAAAGTGTTGAGAACTTCTGTGAGAATTTTTCCAAAAAGTGAATTAATAGTGATGTGATTGTGGTATAGCTCAGACTTACAGGATTCTTTCTGCAAAATGTCTTTTAGTCTAAAAACTATCATTTATTCACTAAACTTAGCTTGCACACTTTTAGTTGACTATGTTTTCCAATCCATAATTAAAGATTAAAGATTTCTCACCACTGAACATGTTTAACACAATGGCATAAGCCTTGAAGGCAATTTAGATGAGAGAAGAGTAGGAACTAATATTTACCATACCCATTTTTGTGCCATATGACAAACTTGATGGAAGTGGTATTGTCATTTTAAAGATCAGGAAATTTAGACTTAAGGTGAGTAACTTGTTCAAGGTCACATATAAATTTGTTTTCTTTTTTCTTTTTTTTTTTTGAGACAGAGTTTCACTCTTGTTACGCAGGCTGGAGTGCAATGGCGCGATCTCAGCTCACCACAACCTCCGCCTCCTGGGTTCAGGCAATTCTCCTGCCTCAGCCTCCTGAGTAGCTGGGATTACAGGCACGCACCACCATGCCCAGCTAATTTTTTGTATTTTTTTTTAGTAGAGACGGGGTTTCACCATGTTGACCAGGATGGTCTCAATCTCTCGACCTCGTGATCCACTCACCTCGGCCTCCCAAAGTGCTGGGATTACAGGCTTGAGCCACCGTGCCCGGCCTTCATTTTTTTTTTTTTTTTTTTTTTTTTTTTAGCAGAGTCTAGCTCTGTTGCCAAGGCTGGAATGCAGTGGCACAATCTTGGCTCACTGCAGCCTCCACTCGTGGGTTCCAGCAATTCTCATGCCTCAGCCTCCTGAGTAGCTAGGATTATAGGCACGTGCTACCACACCCAGCTAATTTTTTTATTTTTAGTAGAGCTGGGATTTCACCATGTTGGCCAGGCTGATCTCGAGCTCCTGGCCTCAAGTGATCCACTGCACCTGGCCTTTTTTTTTTTTTTTTTTCTTTTTTTTTTGTTTTTGAGACAGAGTCTTGCTCTGTTGCCCAGGCTGGAGTGCAAGGGTGCGACCTCGGCTCACTGCAACCTCCACCTCCCCAGGTTCAAGTGATTCTCCTGCCTCAGCCTCCCTAGTGGCTGGGATTACAGGCACACACCATCATGCCTGGATAATTTTTGTATTTTTAGTAGAGACAGGGTTTCTGTCATGTTGAGCAGTCTGATCTCAAACTCCTGACCTCAGGTGATCTGCCTGCCTCAGCTTCCCAAAGTGCTGGGATTACAGGCGTGAGCCACTGCGCCCAGCTGCTTTTTAAAATTATTTGTAAAGACGGGGTCTCACTATGTTGCCCAGGCTGGTCTTGCACTCCTGGGATCAAGCAGTCCTCCTGCCTTGACCTCCCGAAGTGCTGGGATTACAGGCGTGAGCCACCCTGCCTGGCCAGTCACATGTAAATTAATATTGCTAATATCCTACCCTAAGTTGTCTGCCTGCAGAGCATATATTCTTTCCTTTTAATTTTTTATTGTGTTGAAGAACATGTAACATAAAATTTATCATTTTACCCATTTTTATTTTTAATTTATAATTTAAATATAATTGTATATATTTGTGAAGTACAATGTGGTTTTTCTTTTTTTTTTTTTTTTGAGTCAGAGTCTTACTCTGTTGTCAGGTGCCAGGCTGGAGTGCAGTGGCACAATCTTGGCTCACTGCAACCTCTGCCTCCCAGGTTCAAGCAATTCTTCTGCCTCAGCGTCCTGAGTAGCTGGGACTACAGGCACATGCCACCACACCCAGCTAATTTTTGTATTTTTAGTAGAGACAGGGTTTCACCATGTTGGCCAGGATGGTCTTGATCTCTTGACCGCCTGCCTCGGCCTCCCAAAGTGCTGGGATTACAGGCTTGAGCCACTGCGCCCGGCCACAGTGTGATGTTTTGATACATGTATCCATAGTGTAGTGATCAAATTGAGATAATTACTATATCCATCACTTTAAACATTGATCATTTCTTTGTGGTGATAACATTCTAAACCTTTTCTTTTAGCTCTCTTGAAATGTACACTATTGTTATTTACTATAATTATCCTACTTCGTAATAGGATACCAAAACTTATTCTTCCTATCTAACTACAACTTTTGACCAACTTCTCCCAATCCCCCCACTTTCCTACCTTCCCCAGCCTCTGGTATTTACTATTCTACTCTCTTCGATGAAACTAACTTTTTTAGCTTCCATATATGAGTAAGATCGTGTAGTATTCGTCTTTCTGTGCTTGGCTTATTTCACTTAACATAACGTTCTCCAGGTTTATCTGTGTTTCCAAAAATGACAAGATTTCATTCTGTTTTATGGCTGAATAGTATTCCATTGTATAGGTATGCATGTATGTGTGTGTGTATATATCTCACATTTTCTTCATTCATCTGTAGATGCGTATTTAGGTCGATCCATATCTTGACTATTGTGAATAGTGCTGTGGTAAACACGGGTATGCAGATGTCTCTTTAACATACTGATCTCATTTACTTTTGGAGATATATCTAATAATGGGACTGCTAAATTACAAAGTGGTTCTATTTTTAATTTTTTAAGGAACCGCCATACTGTTCTGTATAATGTTATACTAACTGAAACTCCTAAAAATTGTATATGAGTTCCCTTTTCTCTGCATCTTTGCCAGCATTTGTTATTTTTTGTCTTTTTTTTCAGTAGCCATTTTAACTGGGGTGAGGTGATATTCTGATTTTGATTTGCATTTCTCTGATGATTAGTGATATTGAGCATTTTTCCATTTATCTGTTGGTCATTTGTGTATCTTCTTTTGAGAAATGTCTGCTCAGGTCTTTTGTTGATTTTTAAAATCAGATTGGTTTTTTTGTTTTTTTTTTTTATTTGTTTTCCTCCTGAGTTGCTTGAATTCCTTATGTATTCTGCATATTAATATTTTGTCAAATGTATAGTTTGAAAATACTGTCTCTCTTTATGTAGGTTGTCTCTTCATTGTATTGTGTCTTTTGCTATGCAGAAGATTTTTAGTTTGATGTAATCCCATTTGTTCATTTTTGGTTTTGTTGCCTGTACTTTTGAGGTCTTATCCGAAAAATTCCCACCCAGTCCATTTTCATGAAGTATTTCTCCTATGTTTTCTTCTAATATTTTCATAGTTTTGGATCTTACATTTAAGTCTTTAATCAATTTAGAGTTGGTTTTTATATACAGTAAGAGATTGGGGTTTAGTTTTATTCTTCTGCATATGGACATCCAATTTCTCCAGCACCATTTATTGACAAGACCGTCCTTTCCCCAATTTGTGTACTTGGCACCTTTGTTGAAAATCAGTTGGCTATAAATCTATACATTTATTTTTGGATTCTCTATTCTGTTACATTGATTTAGATGTCTGTGTTTATGCCTGTACCATGCTGTTTTGGTTACTATAGCTTTGCAGTGTATTTTGAAATCAGGTAGGGTGATGCCTCCAGCTGTGTTACTTTTGCTCAGGATTGCTGTGTCTATCTGGGGTCTTTTGTATTTGTATATGAATTTTAAGAATTTTTTTATTTCTGTGAACAATGTCATTGGTATTTTGATAGGGCGTGCATTAAATCTGCACACCACTTTGAGTAATATGGGCATTTTAACATTAGCCTTCCAATCCATACACCTAGGATATTCTTCCATTTATTTGTGTCTTCTACAACATCTTTCATCAATTTTTTTTTTTTTTGAGGAGTCTTGCTCTGTCACCAGGCTGGAGTGCACTGGCACAGTCTCGGCTCACTGCAACCTCCGATACCCTGGTTCAAGCGATTCTCCTGCCTTACCCTCCCGAGTAGCTGGGATTATAGGCATGCACCACCGTGCCCAGCTGATTTTTGTATTTTTAGTAGAGACAGGGTTTCACCATATTGGTCAGGATAGTCTTGATCTTCTGACCTCGTGACCTGCCTGCCTTGGCTTCCCAAAGTGCTGGGATTACAGATGTGAGCCACCACACCTGGCCTTATCAATGTTTTATAGTTTCCATTGTGGGGATAGTTCACCCCCTTGGTTAAGTTTATTTCTAAATTTTTTTTTTTGTAACTACAGTAAGTGGAATTGGTTTCTTGATTTCTTTTTCAGATAGTTTGCTATTGGCATATAGAAACACTACTGATATTTGTAAGTTGATTTTGTAACCTGCTACTTTACTAATTCATTTATTCCAGTGTTTTTTTTTTTTTTTGTGGAATCTTTGGGGGTTTCTATGTATATGATTATGCCATCCACAGCAGGGACAATTAGA